ACAATTTTTTAAATGGAAAGAATTAGAGAAAGTTTTTCGGGTTTCATTCATTCTGCTGCACCATTGTATTACACTGGGTATTTACAGGGCATATTAGTTTAGTTAACTTTGAATAAAAAATGAATCCAACAGTGCTACCATTATTTACAAAATCAAATGCCTATGAGTTGAAAGAAATAGTCACAGTGCTATTCAGCATCAAATACCCTTCTTTCCCTCTAAGTAAGCTGTCCTAATTCACAGGTTGCATTAAATCTCAGCCTCATTTTCTCTCCCTTGTCCCAATATTCTTTGTAACACACAGAGGTGTAATACAGATTAATTGTCATTTGAATTGTGACATTTGGTGATTATAAACCTACCTTTCCTGAAATTCAATGAATGAATGAATCAATCTTTTTACTTTTCCTTCTCTTTACATGGTTCTTATTTTATTCCTCTGAATTTCCTTCGTTAAGATTTCTTCATTTCATTTTTCTGTACTAACTCCTAAGCATTTTTTCTTTTTGTTAATAACTCATACCTGTAACATTGTCACACACCCACTTACACAGCAGTTTATGATCTCAATCCGTTTGACTGGCTACCACAACTAGAAGGCTTTCAATAAAGTTTCATTCCACAGTGTGGTGCACTAGATGGTTAATTCCCTTTGCTAAATCATAGTCCCAGTTTTTGGTCAACTAGTATTCTAGATATTTTTATGAATATATATTAACTTTTGAATTTTTAGACTTTGAAAAAAGATCACCTCATCACTCCGTATTCTCTGTGTGGCTTCATTTATTCAGAAGAGAAGATAAACTGAGTTTCCTTAGGAAATAGGGAGTCTGTTCCAGATGGCATTGAGGTCAACTTTTCCTTGTGTCTTCAGCCAGTCCTGAGTAATTCACACATCAGTATTCAGAACTGCCATAGCAAAGTTCTCGCTCATGTACCAGTTGTATGTCTCTTTGGAACTTTGACTATATATACTTACTTACATACCTACCTACCTACATACATATGTACTAAATTTTCAGTCACTGTGATGAATGAAAACTACTCTGGTGAAGTGTGGGGACTATGCTGTTGTGCTCTCAAGCATGAATATTTACATTTAAGAAACATTTCATTATATACAGGACTTGAGTTTTTCATGTAAGCATCACTGTTGTGGATCAATCACATATATAATTGTTTTGGAACTCAGCTAGAATTCCTGGGCTCATCTTAAACCCCATACTCAGGTCTCTTTCTGACATCTACTGCTTGATGTTTATTTTCCTTGAGCCTTTGCTGGGGAGGAGAATAAAGGATCCTAAAATAGAGGAAAGCTAGATTGTGAGCCTTGATGACTCACCTTGTCTGTGATGCTGGCCAAATCTGCTGTACCATATCCCATAGAACACAGAAGCTTCTTCAGTTAAGATAGTCTTCTTTTATTTTGATTCAGGAACATGCAGCCAGACTCAAGGGAAAACTGGTCTTGAGTCATAGAGAAACTGCACAGTGTTGAGCTTCACCTCTGGGATGTGAACATTTGTTGAAAGGTTCAGCTGGTTGGTTGGGGTAAATCTCAGAGAGATTATAGACATGATCAGTCAGATCATACCTCTAGTTCAACTGTGTCTAAGGCATGTTTTCCTCAAGTTCTAATGTATATGTGGCCCATTACCGTGGTCATGGAAGAAGAGACTCAGCCAACACTAAGATCAGAGTGTAATTTTTTTTATTGTTCTCATACATTTAATCCAGACCACACCTCCTCCTCCTTCTATTCCTCCCAACTCTTCCCCATCTATTCCTGTACCCCAGATCCACTCCTCTGATTTCTTTCAGAATTGAGGACGTCTCCAGGGAATATCAACTTAACACAGCTTAACAAGGTATAATAAGACTAGGTTAAATCCTTATGTTAAGGTTAGGCTAGGCCACCCAGTAAGTTGAAAGGGGTCCCAAGAGCAATTGAAGGAGTCAGAAACAGTTCCCACTCCCACTATTAGGAGTCCCACAAAACACCAAGGTAATAATCATAACATGTTTGCAGAGGAGCTAGTGCAGACCCACTTAGGCTACATGATTGCTGCTTCAGTCTCTGTGAACCCGTATGAGCCCTGCTTAGTCGATTCTGTGGACTGTATTCTCCTAGTGTCCTCAAGTTCTCTGGTTCCTACAATTCATCCTCTATTTCTTCCTTGGGGATCCCCAAGCTTCAAGGGGCCTAGAAGCTAACAGGCTAATAATTCTGTTGGGCCTGGATAAAAGAGAGTAGAAAAGTTTTAGAAAGAAAACTTAGATCAAGATAGTTTCAAAAACTGAAGAAACATGAAATTTAAAGATGAACACTGTTATGGGATTTCCCACACCTTCACAACATTGTGACTGCTCTCCAATGTGTTGGACATCAGAAAATGCCCTGTTCTGAATTCCCCAACATAACACATTTTGTTGAACTCACAAATTCTGCAACCTAAGTTATGTTCTCACCATTCAATACTTTTTGTACTGTCACCAACTTTCTCAAAATAAAGATAGTTTGTTGGATTCTTGCTCCTCTTACCAACAATAAATTGATATAGCACTTGTCAGTCTTCCTTGGATTTTTATATATAACATATAATACATGTAAGAAAAATTACTTAATCCATTCACCATGTAATGTGGCAGAGTACCAGCTATACGGGGTCCCTGGACCAGAAGAAAGACTTGCCTCAGGTCAGTGTGCACTACAGCATGTTTGCATGTGTGTCATATAACATGTAAAACTTTGATGCTCATTGAAATAGGAATGTGTGACATCTCTATCAAGCCCTAACACAATACCTTCTAGGTAAGGAAAATCAGCATCACTGTCTTGGAATTGGTTAAAGAGTGATCACCATTAGAATATATAGCAGATGATACCAAATTCTGTATGAATGGGCTAAGATATTTTTTAGAATGCTGTATTATTTTCAGAATGGAGCTTGACCTGGGCGAGACTGTAGTTCATCCTTAAAAACTGTTATACACATTTGATACAGACTGAAGGATTCTACTTATATGAGCCCTGACTTCCAGTTCTAAAGTCTGCCACTCAACTCTCCTCTAGTCATATTGAACTCTTTGTTCTACTGTGTAGGCAGAGGTCTTTTCCCTTAGGTTTTTTATGTCTTCCATTTTTCTGTTTATCCATGTCAGTTCAAATTTCACCATCTACCCAACATACCCCCTTTTTTTCTGGAGTCCAGATAGAACTCAAAAAATTTCCAAGAGTTCAAAAATATGATGTTTCCCTCTTTCCCAACCTTAGCTAGTATCCGTAACCTTTTGCTTGTCATTACATTTCCTTGCTAATTCTCCCTCTACTCCAATGGACTGTGAGATTCTCAAAAGTAAACACAAATTCTTTTTTACTTCTGAGAACTTAGAAACTTCAAAATATTCATAAACAAAATATTTGCTTTAAGCCTAACTTTTTAATATGTAGGTAAGGACCCCATATGAGTTGACACAAGCAGTCAGGGAAGTGGAAAATTTAGTGGCATCTGTTAAGTTTCTAAATTATTTTTACCAAAAATAAAGAAATAAAACAAATAAGTAATTTGAGGAGTTTCTGAAAGCAGCAGCCCATGCTGGACACCACACTATTTTATTGTTTGCTTGGTTTTGAGCATATCATGTATGTACTTTTCATTGCACATGATGCCACACAACACATCCTAAAGAAGATGGCCTGTAACAGTTTGTCTCAGTTTTAAGGCAATTGTGGTTTTTTTTTCTGTACGCACAAATTTAATTCTCATTTTATTTTATTTTATTATTTTATTATAAGGCTTTTAATACAGAAAAGAAAGTTTTGAAATATTTTTCTGCCACCATTATCCAGCATGAAAATATAAAATTAGTGGATCTTTGGATTGTGTAATGCTAGAATTATTTAAACTACTTCTGACTTACTGATTTCAGTTTGGTAAAAAATGTATATAATGCTGTCATGAAGGGAGGACCCAATCTTTACCAGGTCCTGAAATGACCCTCAGTGTACTTACTGCAATTTTATCCTATGTATTTATAAAGTAATGCTCTCAGCAGTGGCCATTACAATATACAGATGTTATTCAACTCTGAAAAATTTTAAAGATGTTTTAAAACCTGCATGAAATACCCAGTAAGATACTTTACAACCTACATGTAATACCCTCTTGTGAATTAATTACTTATTTGAAAAAATATCATTAGTATGTAAATTTGCTCTCATGTTTAATAATTGGTAAACTATTATGATTTAAAATAAAGATTTTCATAATTTATTGCCAATACATGTTTAGTTTCAGTAATTATTTTGAATACATGCATGCCCAAGATTGTGCAAAGATTGTTCATGTGACAAAAGGTCAGAATAGAATTAAATCAAGAAAGCTGTTGTAATAATTAAATCAATAGTTATTTAAGTTATTAGAATGGGAAATATTTATTGGCATTTATAACATTGTGAAGTATATTTAGTGTATATTGATTCTAGCAATATTGTATAATTATTAACTTTTAATTATAGAAAGGATACAACAATCAACAGATAAAAAATTGTTTTTATGCTTATCCAGGATTGTGTATATACATCACAGTTAATAAACCAGTTTTCTATTTAAACATTTTGGAAATATACTGACTTTTAAGGTCTATACATAAAAGGCAACATGGAACCATTTTTTTCTGTTGCTGGACTCTAAAGTAAGGCTAGAAAACATTGGCTTCAAGAATACATGTATGCCATAAATGAGATAACAAATGAACAAAACACATTTTCAGATCAGAGAATGTAGCTCAGTGGTAGAGGACCTGCTTAGCATGTTAGAGACATTAGAAATAATCCATAGCACCACAGAAAAACAATTACTAGAAACAAGTTTACTAGTCTTACACTTCTTATTGTTGGTGCCCATAACAAAGCTAATTGTAGGACTTCATTCACCAGTGTGCTGCTCATATTTCCCAACCACTTCACAGGCTTCAACTCCCATAAACATACACTGTTATCAGGTCTGGTATTTTCGTCTTAGTACTCTGAACATGGCTCCCCTTATTGGTTTGGACTTGACACTGTAGATGATGGGGTTGAGCACAGGAGGTACCACAAGGTACACATATGCAACAAGGGCATGAACAATGTGGGGCAGATGCTTACCAAAACGATGGATCATGGACACACCTATGACTGGAATATAGAAGACCAGAACAGCCAAGATATGAGTAACACATGTGTTGAGAGCCCGGACACGTTCCCTTGGAGAGGCTAGCCCCATCACTGTCTGAAGAATCAGGGCATAGGACATAACAATAAGCAAGGAGTCTACACCCACTGTGGACAGAACTACATAGAGTCCATACAGGATGTTGACAGTAATGTCAGCACAGGCCAGCTTCATGACATCAGCATGGAAGCAGAATGAGTGAGACAGGAGGACCTTGCCAGGGCAATAGTTGAGTCGCTTCAGCAGGAAGGGCACTGGGAATAGTGATAGAGTGGCTCGAGCTGCAATGACAGCCCCAATTCTGATGATGACATTATTAGTGAGGACAGATGCATAGCGCAGTGGATTGGAGATAGCCACAAAGCGGTCAAATGACATGGCCAAGAGTACTGAAGACTCTACCACAGAGTAAGAGTGTAGGAAGAACAGTTGTATTAGGCATGTGTGGAAGCCAATGAAATGATAGTCAAACCAGAGCACAGCCAGGGTAGAGGGCATTGTGGACAAGGTAAGACCCACATCACTTAGGGCCAGCATGCACAGGAAGTAGTACATGGGATGGTGTAGGCTATGGGTCCTCTTTACAGCCAGTAGTATGGGGCTGTTTCCAGTGAGTGCCACAGTGTACATGGAGGAGACAAGGATGGAGATCCAGCCATGGATGACCTCTATGCCAGCCATGAGGAAATACTGTGGCTGCAAGAAGGAGATGTTGATGAAGGACTGGGAAGGGAACATCCATGGAGACAGCCAAGGGCTCTAGGATGATATGATCTGTTCAACCTCTGAAGGAACATACATAAATTGATGAAGTTAATGCAAAAAAAAAATGCCTATTATCATGTTTGTTGATATGGGTCCAAGCATGAACATGACAGATGTAAAGCAGATTTAGAAATGTAGTGCATCTAAAATAAAAAAAAAAATATAAAGAAGGAAAACAGGACTGGTAAGATGGCTCAGCGATTAAAGGTGCTTGTCAATCTTTATGTCCTTAGCTATTCCCCAGCTCCAGTTTGGTGGAATTAGAGACCCAAACTGGTATTCTGGCCTCTGATCTCACATCTACACTATGGCATACCTTCCTCACAATTATTAAAATAATAAATAAAGGAAAAGTATAAATTCAACCCAATGAGTACCAAAGTAATAGTTAAATGAGAGAAACAGTATTCACAGTATTGTGCAGCTGGCAATGAAGGGTGTAAGAGACATAATACCAGAAATTCTGCTGTTAAAGTCTCTCTTAGAGCTGGGCATTGGTGGCACACACCTTTAATCCAAGTACTCTGGAGGCAGTGAATCTTTGAGAGTTTGAATCTAGCCTGGTCTACAGAGCTAGTTCCAGGATAGGTTCCAATGCAATACAGAGAAACCCTGTCTTGAAAAACAAAAACAAACAAACACAAACAAACAAATAAAAATCAAAAGACATGTTCATATGGAAGGGGAACATTGCATGGGGTCCCACACCTAGGCCCATAACTCCAGGTAACTAGTGAGAATTAGGAGAGGAGGAATTATCACCATATGGGATGAGTCCCCTTATTGGTTTTTCAGTATAACATGGTCAACCCCCAAACCACATGCATACAAATAATAAAAGCAGACTTATCCACTTGTGTTTATATATTTTTGCATACTTATACATACCCACATATGTGTATAAGTAATAATAAATAAAAAGGTTATCTGAGTCTTGGGGTACGTGGATGGGATTCAAGGCAAGGTACTTGGAAGGTGCTGGAGGGAAGAAAGTGAAGGACAGAAGTGATTTAATTCTAGTGTGATTAAAACTATATAAAATTTAACAAGAAAAAAGTCATTGCTCATAGGAAGTTAGAAAAGAAATGAAAGGATTCTGTATCATTTTTTTAAAAAAATATTTTGAAAACAGAAGAGTGGTTCAATCTGTGTTAGCAGAGAGTAAGAATAATTTGATGATAAAGACATTTAAAATAAAAATGGCAGATCAAAGTAAAGAATGGTAAAAAAAGCAAAGTAGTCTGAGGCCGAAAAACTTCATGTTATGAAAGGTATGCAATTAAAACAATTAAAAAAGAATAATTAAAGTTAAATTGAAATAATTAACCTGGAGAATATATGATGCATTAAACAGTGGAATTGTAAACACAATCTTCCCAATAAGAAAATGTCTGACTTGAATAAGAGCCCTCTCATGTCTACTAGACCACATGCACCAAAGGTCACTATGCACAGAAATCTGTGAAATGAGTATATGCTACACCTTTTTTAAATATTTATTTTATATAACCAAGTCCATTTAAATAAAAACAAACATTTATAGACAATATTTGGGAATTTGGGCGTCGATCTTTCCAAACTACTTCCTGCTGGTAAGGGCGCTGTCATGGGGGATTCGAAGAAGATTCAGAAATCCTGGCTGTAGTCTGTAAGGCTGCTTTGTCCAGCTGTTTTGAATGTAGAATCACCTGGTACTCTGTTTCAGGTGGTCTGGCTTGATCATACCACATTAGTCTGGAAGGAATCCACCTCTTTTCATTTTCTGTGGAAACAAAAATCGAAATACTTTTCCCCAGTAACTTGTACTTGAACTTAAATTTTGGAGTCAAAGCATTTTTTTATTTAATTTATTATTTTACATGTTGATCCCAATTCCCTCTCGCTCCCTCCCTCCCTCTTTCCCTCCTTCCCTCCCTTTTACCCTCTCTGCCCTCTCACATGCACTCTAAACACCCTCCCCTCCCATCCCCCAACCCCAATTCCATATGTAGGGGAATGCCATCCAGTTGGGGTCATGTAGATCTGACAGATCATGTGAAGTAGGGACTAGGGATTCTCTCCTGTCTCTAGATTAAGGCAGCTATCCCTCCATGGGGGATGTGTTCGCAAAGTCCGTTTTTGCACCAGGGATACATCCTGGCTCCACTGTCTAAGGTCCCTTAGACTGCTCAGTCCTTCTGGCTGAGACCCATATTCAGGGGGCCTGAGTCAGTCCCATACTAGCATCCCAGCTATCAGTCTGGTGGCCCGTTAGCTCCTCCTTGTTCAGGTAAGCTGTCTCTGTGTTTCTGCTGCCTGGTCTTGTCCTCTCCATCTGCATCTGGGTGGGTCCTAGTTTGACTCAGTGTTTATGTATGGGTGTTTGCTCCTATTTCCAACAGGCATTAGTTGAGGGCTCCATGGATAAGTTAGTTGTTGATCTCACTCTCCAGGAAGGGCATTTATGGTAGCCTTTCAAGGGAAGCTCAAATTGTTAGTTGGCAGCAGTCTTGTAGTTCTCTAGACCTTTCTTTGTGTTCAATTTTATCTTCAAACCAATATTGGCTCCCTCTTTTATGGTCTCTCTCTCTCTCTCTCTCTCTCTCTCTCTCTCTCTCTCTCTCTCTCTCTCCTGTTTTCTATTCCTAACCAGGCTCAGTCTTCCTGGTCGCATGTGTTTTCCTTTCCTCCTCCTCATTTTCTCCTACTTCTCTCTCCATTCGCTGCCCCCCACCACTTCCTCTGTGCTCTGGGGGACTTGTCCCTTCTTGGTTCTGTGAGGGACTTTATATGAATCTCTTAGAACACATCTTGTATCCTAGTTCCTCTGGAGGTGTGAATTATAGGCTTGTGATCCTTTGATTTAGGTCTAAAATCCATATATGAGTGAGTACATACTATGTTCCTCTTTTTGTGACTGGGTTACCTCATTCAGGATGGTTTCTTCAAGTGCCATCCACTTGCCTGCAAATTTCAAGATACCATTATTTTTTTTCTGCAGAGTAGTATTCCATTATGTAGATGTGCCACATCTTCATTATCCATTCTTCAATTGAGGGGCATCTAGGTTGCTTCCAGGTTCTTGCTATTACAAATAGTGCTGCTATGAACATAGTTGAACAGATGTCTTTGTTGCATGGATGTGGATCATTTGGGTATATGCCTAAGAGGGGGATTGCCAGGTAAACTAATTCCCATTTTCCTGAGGAACCGCCATACTGATCTCCAAAATGGCTGTATGAGTTTGCACTCCCACCAGTAGTGGAGGAATGTTCCCCTTTCTCCACATCCTCTCCAACATGAGTCATCATTGGTGTTTCTAATGTTAGCCATTCTGGCAGGAGTAAGATGGTATCTCAAAGTTGTTTTGATTTGCATTTCCCTGATAGCTAAGGATGTGCAACAGTTTCTTAAGTGTCTTTCAGTCTTTTTGATTTCCTCTATTGAGAATTCTTTCTTCAGTTCTGTATCCCATTTTTTAATAGGGTTGGTTGGTGTTTTGTTGGCTAGTTTCTTGAATTCTTTGTATATTTTGGAGATGAGCCCTTTGTTGGGTATAGGATTAGTGAAAACACATTTTTTTCCCCTCAAACCCAGTTCTACTAACTCATTTAATTTTTCTATGCTTTGGTTTCCTAAACTATTCTAATTCACTACATAGCATAATTTTTATTTATTTATTTATTTATTTATTTATTTATTTATTTTATATAATCAAGTCCATTTAAATGAAAACAAACATTTATAGACAATATTCGGGAATTTGGGTGTTGTTCTTTCTAAACTAGTTCCTGCTGGTAAGGGGCGCTGTCATGGGGGATTCGAAGAAGATTCAGAAATCCTGGCTGTAGTCTATAAGGCTGCTTTGTCCAGCTGTTTTGAATGTAGGATCATCTGGTACTCTGTTTCAGGTGGTCTGGCTTGATCATACCACATTAGTCTGGGAGGAATCCACCTCTTTTCATTTTCTGTGGAAACAAAATAGAAATCCTTTTCCCCAGTAACTTATCCATGGAGCCCTCAATTAATGCCTGTTGGAAACAGGAGCAAACACCCATACATAAACACTGAGTCGAAGTAGAACTCAGATGCAGATGGAGAGGACAAGACCAGGCAGCAGAAACACATAGAGACAGCTTACCTGAACAAGGAGGAGCTAACGGGCCACCAGACTGATAGCTGGGATGCTAGTATGGGACTGACTCAGGCCCCCTGAATATGGGTCTCAGCCAGAAGGACTGAGAAGTCTAAGGGACCTCAGACAGTGGAGCCAGGATATATCCCTGGTGCAAAAACGGACTTTGCGAACATATCCCCCATGGAGGGATAACTGCCTTAATCTAGAGACAGGAGAGAATCCCTAGTCCCTACTTCACATGATCTGTCAGACCTACATGACCCCAACTGGATGGCATTCCCCTACATATGGAATTGGGGTTGGGGGATGGGAGGGGAGGGTGTTTAGAGTGCATGTGAGAGGGCAGAGAGGGTAAAAGGGAGGGAAAGAGGGAGGGAGGGAGCGAGAGGGAATTGGGATCAACATGTAAAATAATAAATTAAATAAAAAAAATGCTTTGACTCCAAAATTTAAGTTCAAGGACAAGTTACTGGGGAAAAGGATTTCTATTTTTGTTTCTACAGAAAGTGAAAATACATTTTTAATGCACGTATAATATTGTTTAGGTATAAAAGGGAGGAAAACATGTTAAAACCAAGACAGTGTTTGTTATTTCTAATATGAACTTTTTTTTTTTTTTTTTTGTCGTTCAGGCCTGTGGAAGTCAAAATTTTAGAGGTAAGAAAAAAATGTCATGTAAAACAAAACAATTTATCTCAAGTAGTGTCTTTGTGATGCTGTATCAGGAATGATAGAATAAATTCATAAATAGAAAACAATGGCGAACAAGACTGACCCAGTGGTGAGGAACATCCTGATGCCTAGATGCAGTCCCCAAATACCATGGTTACCTGGATGAAGTCACAAATGCTTTGAA